ATTAGCTATTAAATCAGAAAAAAAAGCATTTTTGGAGCAAGCTCTACAATCAGCTGACAACAAAAATAGGTGGAAAATTTTAAAAAAATTCAATATAATCAAAACAAAAAAATCAAAATAATTTTATATAGCTTTAATACTGACTCAAACTCAATAAGTAATCATTTTTTAAAAATAAATGGAATAAAAAAGGATCCAGATGTAGATACCATTAACTTTTACAAAAAAAAATTTAATAAGGGACTTTGAATCAAAATTTAAATTTCAACCAATTGCTGAACATGATGTAACAAACTTTATACTACGAATTAAAAGTAAAGCAACTGGATTAGATAATATTAATATAACACTTATTACATTCTTATGTCCTCATATAATTCCATATCTTACGCATGTGATTAATTTTTGTCTCACAAATTCTACCTTTCCTAGTTGCTGGAAAGAAGGCTTAGTGTCACCAATTCCTAAAATAAATTCTCCGTCTAGTCTAAATGATTTACGACCTATAACTGTACTCCCAACTTTCTCTAAAATTCTAGAAAGAGCCATTGAATCCCAATTAAAAATTCACTTAAATACATATGCACTTATTCCACAAGAACAATCGGGTTTCAGAACAGGATACAGTTGCGGCACTGCTCTATTAAATATAACCGACGATATTCCTACAGAGTTAGATAGGAAAAAATGTGTGGTGTTCTAATTTTATTGGACTATAGCACAGCTTTTGCCATGTTAAATCATGATATGTTGTTTGCTATTTTTAATTTTCTAGGTTTAAGTGAATCTTTCATAGAGTTATTTAGAAATTACTTTAAAAATCGGACAGTACAAGTAGGGTATGAAGGGCAAATATCTACGAAAGGATTAGTTAATAGAGGAGTACCGCAAGGCTCAATATTAGGTCCACTACTCTACTCAGTATACACCAATAATCTACCTACAACATAGAATCAGTTAAAAATGCATATGTACGCAGATGACACTCAACTTCTTAATTTTTTCTTCAAAGAGAACTTAAACCACCCAGAAATTGTGATAAACAATGAACTCGCTGCTCTTATCCAAACCTCCAATAACCACGACCTAGAAATTAACACATCTAAGTCTCAGATTGTATTATTTGGAAATTTAAAAAAGAAACAATTAGTTATCAACATAGGGAACAACAAATTACATATAACTGAAAAAACAAAAAACCTAGGTATGATAATTGATTCTAATTTGAGGTTCTCAGAACATGTCAGTTTTATATTGCAAAAATCATATACAAATCTCAAATTGAAAAGTCAACTTTGTGATGCCCTAGTGTTGTCACATTCCAATCATTGTGACTATGTTTATGACTCATGCTTAACGTACATGGACAAAAACAGATGGCAAAAACTTCAAAACGCATGTTTAAGATTAATTTTTGGGATTAGAAAATATGATAGAATCAGTCATACTCTACTGCGCAATCATTGGTTATCTATGGCTAACAGGAGAAAATTACATTCATTAACACTTCTACATAAAGTTATTTTAAAAGAATCACCACCATATTTATTAGACAAGCTAACGTATAGATCTGATGTCTACAATATCAATATTAGGCAGAAAAATCTCTTAACAATACCTCAACATCATACTACTTTATTTCAAAGGTCTTTCCGGTTTAGTTTAGTAACTAGTTATAATAATTTGCCCACGGACATGAAAAAGTTAACTCTAAATAGTTTAAAAAAAAAGTTATATTTTAAGTTATTTAATGAACAATGCCCTGAATCATAGGGATTTTATTAAACAGCTTTTTTATACAAGAATATAAAGCAGTCTATTTTTTTTTTCTTTTTTGTTTTGTTGTTTAACTGGGTTTAACTTTGTTTCACTACGAAATTTATTTAAAAAAAAAGGTTCTTGAGGAAGAACAGCTATGCTGATCTTGCGCCTTTTAATTAGCAGTATACATACAGTATGGTTCAAATGAAAGGAATAAATTCATTATAATGGAAGTAGCTGGTTTTTCGAAAAAATGCTCGGACAGGTCAATTTTGTTTACTTAAAGCGCAATTTTTTAAATAAAATTCAATTTTCCCCCACTTCCCATTTTTGGGCAGTGACGTCATTGACAATTTTTTTAAATAGCAACCCAAATTTTTTTTTCTTGATTTTGATAGATCTTGCAATTTCCTACTCGGAAACATAATATTTGAAATATCTGACATAACAATTTTTTTTGAAAAAAAGTCATTTCAAGATCAGATACATAAATTTTATGTTATTTTGAAACACAATAAATTAATAACAGATAATTATTTGTAATTAAATGCTTAATCTAACAAAATAATAATAAAAAAATAATAATAAAAAGAATTTGTGAAATTGTCATTAAATTCGTTTTATTATTATTATTATTATTATTTTTTATTTTTTAAATTAAGCGCTTAATTACAAATAATTATCTTTTATTAATTTATTGTGTTTCAAAATAACATAAAATTTATGTATCTGATCTTGAAATGAGTTTTTTTCAAAAAAAATTGTTATGTCAGCTATTTCAAATATTACGTTTCCAAGTAGGAAATTGCAAGATCTATCAAAATCAAGAAAAAAAAATTGGGGTTTCTATTTAAAAAAATTGTCAATGACGTCACTGCCCAAAAATGGGAAGTGGGGGAAAATTGAATTTTATTTAAAAAATTGCGCTTTAAGTAAACAAAATTGACCTGTTCGAGCATTTTTTCGAAAAACCAACTACTTCCATTATAATGAATTTATTCCTTTCATTTGAACCATACTGTATATTTACCTTTTATTTACCTTTTATTAAATTGTGTTTTTATTTATTACATGTATTTATTTTTACTGTTGGTTAATAAAGATAAATTATTATATTATTATATTATTATATTATTATATTATTATATTATTATATTATTATATTACTATATTATTATATTATTATATTATTATATTATTATATTATTATATTATTATATTATTATATTATTATATTATTATATTATTATATTATTATATTATTATATTATTATATTATTATATTATTATATTATTATATTATTATATTATTATATTATTATATTATTATATTATTATATTATTATATTATTATATTATTATATTATTATATTATTATATTATTATATTATTATATTATTATATTATTATATTATTATATTATTATATTATTATATTATTATATTATTATATTATTATATTATTATATTATTATATTATTATATTATTATATTATTATATTATTATATTATTATATTATTATATTATTATATTATTATATTATTATATTATTATATTATTATATTATTATATTATTATATTATTATATTATTATATTATTATATTATTATATTATTATATTATTATATTATTATATTATTATATTATTATATTATTATATTATATTATATTATTATATTATTATATTATTATATTATTATATTATTATATTATTATATTATTATATTATTATATTATTATATTATTATATTATTATATTATTATATTATTATATTATTATATTATTATATTATTATATTATTATATTATTATATTATTATATTATTATATTATTATATTATTATATTATTGTATTATTATATTATTATATTATTATTATTTATTATATTATTATATTATTATATTATTATATTATTATATTATTATATTATTATTATTATTATTATTATTATTATTATTATTATTATTATTATTATTATTATTATTATTATTATTATTAATATTATTATTAATATTATTAATTGTTTAACCTTAAGGTATCTCACTTGCCTCACCCTCCCCTATTCGAACTGTTATACTTGTCATATTTGTGGAAAGTAGCGTCATTAGACATAGGAATAAATTTAGCAAATAATACGAGTGGTGTGAATTTAATTTTTCATTCACGTTTAGTGCATTAGTTTATGCTATTATCAATAGTCCCGATAACAAAAGTTATTGTATTCAAAATAGATTATATCACGAATTAATAAAATGTGACAACTCAATAATTTGCAGTTACAGTATAAAAGCAATGAGAAATCTTTATATCATTAATGTACCAATTATGATTATCAGCTATTGCCCAGACAGCACACTATATATATATATATATGGCATATATCGACGCAGTCACGCCTAAAAGACGTAAACGCCAATTATTGAAAACTCAAGTAACTGTTTTGTCGTACGCGCCAATTTTTTTTACGTTTTTCTATGTCTAGTAAGTGCAAGAAAAATATATTTATCTTTGTCTAATCTGTAAAAAAGGCGTGCGCAACTTGATGTAAAAGGCGGGAAAAAACGGGTTTAGATGACATTGTTTTCACACATCATTGTAAGCGACAGTTCGTCCATTGAGTTTGTATAGGGCACCTAGTTCATCGTTTCACGGCCTGATAGATCCTGATTCAGGTAAATTGAAAGAAATAATTTTGTTGTTAACGTTTTTCATACCCCTAAGGTTCACCTTTCTTTTGATTTTGTCTACAATAATTTGATAACAAGGTTATAATTTAATTTTGTTTCCTATGGCGCTTATGCCAAACCAGTGTCTATCTATTGATGTTTTGACGCCAATTCACATGCTTTTTGGTAATAAAATTAGAAGAGCATTTTATGGTTTTAGTTTTAAATAACAAGATACGTTTACGTATTATTTATTTGAGATAGAATATTTTATAAAGTAAAACATGTAAAAATTGTCCGCCTTTATATTTTATCAATTCTTAATGTGCTGTTCTCTCAACTGGTGGTTACGTCTTTGTGTTCTATTACAGGAGCCATGAATAATGCGCGAACTAGAAAAATTTTTAGTTTGTTGCAAACCAAAACTCCATTAGAAGAAGCTTTAGACCATGATGTGATTTTTGATACAACTTCCTGTGGCCAAAATGGAACAAACTTTGAAAAGACTATGAATGCAACAGACAGCACAACCGATACAAAAGAAATCACTATATTACAAAATGTCGTTATAGTCTAAGACCCCTAAGATAAATGAAAATAATGTTGACTATTCAATAATTGAATCAACGAACTCAGAGGAGCAACCGGAGAACCGAGAACCTGTGACTGAAACAATAAATTGTCCAACAACAAAGAGAATTTCAAAAGATGTAAACCTGTTTGAAACATTTGAAACTATAGAAGACGACGATCCTGATTATATTCCTGAAAGAGAAAATGAAGAGTCCAACATGGGGGAGATGGATAAAGAAGAAATTACGAGCGTCCACCATCCAGAACAGTGTAATAAAATTACTCGACAACCATTAAAGAAGCTTACTAAAAAAGAATAAAGAGTTAAGCTAAGAAATACAGGTGTTGAGTATGTAAACAGTAAAGGGAGGACAATGCCAAGCAAGAAAGTATTGGGGAATCCATGTTTAGGAAAAAAATGTCTTAATATGTGCAACAAGTTTACCGATGAAGAACGTAAACAAATTTTTTTTTATTTTTGGTCATTACAAAGTTATGTAAAACAAAAATGTTTTCTCAGAGAATGCGTGTTAGTAAAAAATGTCAAGCGGCACAGAAAATCTAAAGGCCAAGTCACTAGAACAATAAGCAACGAGTATAGTCTACATAAAGGCAATACCAAAGTACGAGTGTGTCAGCAGTTTTTATTAAAAACCCTCAACATATCTCAAAGAATCATCAGATCTATCATACTAGAGAATACAGATTTAGAAAAATTTCATACTCCTGATAAACGCGGACACTATACTCCCCACAATAAAGCTTCAAGTGAACAAGTAGAAATTTTCAAGAAATTTGTAGAATCACTTCCTGCTGTACCAAGTCATTACTGTAGAAGTTCTTCTACTAAAAAATACTTACCAGCAGACGTCAAAAGTTTCAACAATTTGTACAAGATTTTCGTTGAAAAATATCCGAAAAATAGTACATTTCCTCCATTAAAAAGATCTTGGTTCTTAAAACATCTTAAGACTGACTACAACATTGGCCTAGAAAAGATAAGTGTTCAAAATGCGAAAAATTTAACAATTTAGGAGATACTAAGACTGAATAAAACGTAAAAGAATATGAAAAAGATATCCAGGAAAAAGATGCTGCTAAAAAGATTTACCTACAGGAACAAGCAATGTCGGGCAAGGAAGATTTATTGGTGGTAAGCTTTGACTTACAAAAAGTTTTGGCAACTCCGCACGGTGATTCGATGTTATTAGGATTTTCTAAAAAATACGCAGTTTATAACTTCACAACGTATGAATCTGGAACACAAAGAGGAATTTGCTACATATGGGATGAGAAAGATGCAAATAGGGGTCCCAACGAAATTGCTTCTAATTTATTCCACTACTTACAAAAAGTAGATAATGAAGGAAGATTTAAAGTACTGTCACTTTACTGTGACAATTGTGGGGGACAGAATAAAAACAAATACGCTTTTACCATGATCCAGTACTTTTTAAATCAAAGTAGATTTGTTGAAAAAGTTCATTTAAACTTTTTAATTGCTGGACACACTTACATGACAGCAGATTTTATGCATGCTGTGATTGAAAACTACACCAAAAATATTATTGTGCAAGCATTTTCAGAGTGGCTCACCATTTTCGGAAATGCACGGAAAGTTCCTAAACCCTACGAAGTACAAGAAATGCAATTTCACAATTTTTTTGATTTTAAGAGCTTGCAACTACAAAAAAATTTGCAAATTAAAATTTCCGGCACTAAGAGATTGACATTTACGAAAGACAATGCTGTAGTCTACACAAGTTCATTTTTGGAGGAACAAAACAAATCTGTGCAGTTAACGATTCAAGCAAAAAGTAGGCTACTGCCATGTTTGTTATAAAGGGGAACTGCCAATCGCCAAAAACAAATATAAGAACTTAAAATCTCTTTGTGACTCCCTAACAATTAGAAAAGAATTTCATCACGAATACTTGTTACTGAAAACAAGTAATACAGTAGCTGACGTCTTAGAAGAAACGGATGATGAAGATGAAATTTAATATTATCATAGATTTTTTTATGTTCGTTGTGTTTAAAAAAAATAATTTCACCAAAGTTTGTTTTTTTATTAATAATAAGAAATGTTTGTTATTTTACAGTAGTATTTTTTGTGATACCAGAATTACCATTTTGTTTCTTAAATAAAGTTCTTTTGTCATTAAGATTTCTTTCCTTGTGATTTCTACATTGAACCTAACCGACAAGACGTGGATAAAAGTTGTTACGTTTTATTAATAAACGTTTATTAAAAACAAAATGTTACGTTTCAAAGATATATTATTAAAACATATTTTGCACCACGTAAAATCCTTATAATAAGAATTCTTACAAGCCTCAGGCCTAGCTCAGATCAAAATAGGTCAGTGGGATTCGTTTAGAATTTACCTTCAAGTCAATGACAAAGTCTTTAATTAAAAAGACTTAAAAGAATTCAATGAAATTAATTTTGGGCGCCATACTTTCAGATGTAAAATAAAAGCAAATTTGTCATCAACTTGTCGGTTAAAAGTAAGAAAAAAAAACTAAAATTTCAAAACAATTAATCGGCTTTAATTTAAATTTTGAATTTGACTGAGACTGATTACATAATATAAAAGAAAATTAAATTAATTGATTTTAACACATTTTACGGTTTACGTTCTACTAATGATGAGTTTAAAATAAAAATTGACTAGTGACTCAAAAATTGTGTGTGTGGTCCTGGCCGACACTTATCTTGTGTTTCCGGATTTAACGGTCGAACTGGTCTGGTCCGTGTCTTAATGGTAGGTGAGCGGTGAGCTTACGATGACTTCAAAACACTGCCCAAGATATTCCGCAGCTCTAGTGGCAACTAGCTGACAATGATTCTGCAGTTCCAGATTACAAAGGACAATTCCTTAGTTTATTACAGATCGAGATCCTTAGTTTGTTACAGATACAGAGGCAGTTCCTTATTTTGTTCCAGATCCAGTTCCTTATTTTGTTCCAGATCCAGTTCCTTAGTTTGGTACAGATCCAGTTCCTTAGTTTGGTACAGATCCAGAGCCAGTTCCTTATTTTTTTAAAAAAAGAAAAAAACGTGTCAGTTACAACAAAAAAAACCGTATCTTTCCATTGCTTCAAAAAAAACAACACATGTGGTCAGCCAAAAAAACTTACAATTTAAATTAAACATTCTTAAATTAAACATTTCAAATTTTACAACAATATTAGAGAGTTGCAATAGTATTTAATTTAAAACATAAAGAATGGAAAGATCTTTCCAAATAACTGAGAAGAAAAAAAAAATAAAATTAATGGCAGCCATTTTGTACATTTTGGAATTTATATTACGCGAAAAGCTTACTATAAATAAAAGAGATAGGTAATTCAAAGATAATTTCAGCAGAATATGCACACAATAAAATTAATTTCTACTTTTCATTAATAAAAAAAAATTCGAGATTACCTTAGTTATTCGGACACACAAAGCACTAAAATCAACCTGTCTACCTCGCTGCTAGATTGAAAAAGAAAGTCAGGAGTCGATCGAATATGGAACATGGAAAAGTAAGCCAGGCGCACGCAGAACACCTGACCGTAATTATTGATTTTTAGAGAGAGCGCATCATTGGTTGGGCTATCGAATGTCTTAGACAGAGACAAATTCCCGTTTCAACATAATATCTATAATTCCAAATACGAGGGGCGCTCAAAAAGTATTAGAATATATTGAAATAATAATGAACTAATTAAATATTGTAACTATTAAAAGGGAGTGACGATTACAACGTAACAAAGTAATATAATTGTTTTTATCATTTTGGCGTAAACGCAGTTTAAACGCCATCTGTGGTAAGCATCACATCCATCCATATTGGCGTAAACGACATTTTTGAAAGACGTAAGCGAATTTACCTAAACCTGTTTTGACACAACCGCCAAATTACTACAATTTCTGCAACAGTTATTTCCTAGGTTCCACCAAGTGAAACAAACTTTGTTTGTTTAACTGAAAATTAGTTTTGTTTACTTTGGTAAAAATAGTTTTTGAAATAATAAGCAGGTGCCCAAATTCAGATGTTTTTTTCACTTCCTGTAAAATGTACCGTATGGCGCTTACGTCTCTTTGGCGTAACACCGTCGATATGTTCCCAATCTGCCTATTTGTCAAAATATATTGGAGTATTTATAAAATATATCTTAATATATCATAAAAAATATTACATTTATCCTAAAAATTGCTATTTTAATATTAAACCGTTCAAGATATGAGTATAGGGAAATATACATAAATTCTACCTATTTTTGGCAATAGAATATAATGAAATAATAAAAAATCTGATATGTCCAACACATGACTTTCCTATCTAGTTATTACAGGCTTTTCCCTGTTATTTTGTACAACCTATTGCATCACCTCTATAAATGTTTAGAGGATAAACTAAACATATATATTTTCCACATACATCTACCTCGAAACATTTTTCTATAGATATTCATTGAAAACGAAAATACTGAAAATTTAAATTTCCTACAATTTTTTCATTACGGTCCATTTTAGAAAAATCATGTATAAACAAAAATTATAGAGATCGATATCGCAAACAACTTTTAGTTCAACAATTTTCATAAAAGTCAGAATTTTGTCAAATTTCTCGAATACGGACCATTTCAGGAAATTTTAACATAAAGCAGAAATTATAGATAATAATATTAGAAGTTACTTTTATTTAAACAATGTTTTTCTTCAAATATAAATAACAGATATATTCCATAAAATATAAAAACGGCCTCCCATAAGGTACCCCCCCAGATGTTCCGACTTTGTCCAAAATCTAATCATTTCACGTCAGGCCAAAATAAAACTTAAGTTTAAAATTTAATGTTTTTTTATCCGTTTTTGAGTTTTCTTCAAATTTCAAAATTTACAATTTTCTCAAATTTCTCGAATACGGTCCATTTTAGAGAAATTATGTATGGAATAAATATTATAGAGAATTATATTGCAAACAACTTTTATTTGAACAATTTTTATAAAAAAATATTTTTTTACATTTTGTCAAATTTCTCGAATACGGACTATTTTAGGAAAATTTTGTATAAAACAAAAACTTTAGATAATAATATAAGAAGTAACTTTTATTTGAAAAATTTTCTTCCCCAAACGTAAATTACAGATATATACCATAAAATATAAAAATGACCACCTATAAAGTACCCCCCTAGATGTTCCGACTTTGTCCAAAATCTAATCAGTTTATTGGACGCTAAAACAAAGCTTAAGTTTAAAATTTGGTCTTTTTCTGTGTATCGGTTCATGAGTTATGCGACACACACACACACACGCACGCAC